GCCCTGCCACGTCGCGTCTCGCCCGCCACGCTGGCGCGATGTCAGCGCCAGTCCCATTGGCGCTGATATGAACAACCTCAGCGCTAAAGAGGTTGGCGCTGAGCCGACGGCCTATTTCTAGATATAGTTTTTGGTATGGACTAGTTTCGAAATAAGTTTTCTATAAGGACCAATTTGTCAAAAAAACGGGTAGGACTAAGGCATCAAACCCCATTCAGAAGTCAGAACAATTCATTTTCACCATGTAAAGACATGCGTCAAACCGCATTTAGATCAATTCATTTTTAGTGTTGGGTACGTTTGGTTGTTTGCTAACCTAAGCTATAGCCCAGTTGGGCAAGCCACTTCATTGCTGCTTTGCTAGGCTTGCCTTGCCTAGCTGTTTAGTTCTTTTGCTTCTAACGGTAATACCGATTGTCAGATGTTCGTTTTTTCCACCAAGAGATTAGCTTAAAACAACAAAATATATTCATTTTACAGTATATTGTTACAACGTGATCACGGGTAGGCTTGCCTTACCAACTTTGGCAAAGGTGCGGAATAAATCTGTGACTGTGATTGCGGTGAAGCGAACGAGAAGTGTTATGTGCGGAGGAATAGGGAAGGCATGCAGGCGACGATAACATAACGAAACATCGTTGGAGAGTGAAAATTGTTGGAGTCGCTGATTTACAGCGGCGCGCGCGTGAAGCTTGTCGTCGATGGCGAGCCGAATTCGCTCTCCCTGGCTAGCGAGCTTTTTCTCGCTGCTTCGGGTTAGCTTGCCTGCAAGAGCTAGGAAATTTTGATAGTTCCAAATGGCTGGCCTCACCAAGTTAGGCTAGCTGTTCCAAGCCTTAGATATAAACATACCGTAACTAGCCTAGCTCAGTTCACAAGCTTAGGTTTCTAATCCTAAAGCATCGCTAAATATCTATCTATCTATTATATACTAAAAGCCTATGAAACATCCTTAAAACGCCCTAAGTCGACACATGGCACCCCTAAAAACGCTCCTAAGCTGCCAAGTGGCGCTCTAATAAATTAGATAAACATCTAACCATTGATTTTCCCTTAACTCGGTGGACCCATCAGTTTTGACCATTAGATTAAATTTCCATCTCTCCACCCTAATATACGATGCTTGCATGCTTTGGTCCCACCAAAATAATTAGTTAAGAGTAAACAAACGTAAAGAATCAGTTATTTCTCTCCCCAAAAAATCACCGTGGTATTAATTCTTGGAAAGAAAACCGACGTTGTAGATTTAATGCAGGAGCCTGGGTGTGTGCTTCCATCATCCAAAAAATTATACCAACGAAAACTTTTTAAGTGAATATCACCTTTGCGTCAAAAAAGTGAATATCACTAACTGCTCTAAACTATTTACAGAGTAAGGTTCAGATTCATGAATATTGCCCTCAATAGTTAGTTTCTGAATTTTCATGTTTTTGTTTGATTACCAGGGCCTGATGAAATTTTCACGGATGCTAAATCTCACTACATTAAATTCTCATCTCTCCTCCGTAATATATGACGGTTTCATGCTTTGGTCCCACCAAAATAATTAATTAGGAGTAAACAAATGCAGAGAATCAGTTGTTTCTCACCCAAAAAAAAAATCAACAAATAAATTTTCAGATGCAAAGCCATAGGAAAAGAAAGCAATGCGCCTCTAGCTTACTTTTTCGACCAATATCAACGACATCCATCTACATTTTTTCAGGAACGAGCAGCAACAACCAAGGTTGAAACAATCCTAATCGTATCAATCAGGTGAGTGGTGCAAGCAGCAACTTCCATCTTTTTATTGTTTGATCTCTTAACATAGCCTTCCACTTCTCTATTTTTTTAAGCATATAATTTCGCTTTTTTACCTACAATTTTATACTACTCCTTGGTGATGTTGTTCGTATTCTGATCTGTTGCTACTAGCTTCTACAACAAAGCGATATATCAAAGTTCTTGCCTCTTGGACAATATATTCACTAATTAACATCGGGTATTTGGGTGATGTCAGTTTATTTTTGAGCACTTAGTCAAGACGTCTTGATGCTGTGTGCTTTGCCACCAGAAATTTGTTAATTGATTTTTTAGATAATCATTTTGGAAGGGTAATGCATGCCGCTTTTTTAGGAGAAACATATTACAAACACATGAGTTTATATACATACGCGTACACTTATCCATAGAAAACATATTCGAGAGACTGAGCCAATGATATATCTTCAAATTAGTGAAGTCATCATAAACGCCTCGCTATTGATAGGAACGTTGCCTACTACAAGAATAATTAGCCATAAATATAAGGCCCATGTCAAGTCTAGATCTTAAACCTAGGTGGGTAAGTTCACCATAGGTAACTAACCAGCCACACTCACTAATTGCAGATAATGTGGAGCCCCTCTTCCCTCTCCTTAACTCCTTTTTTCCATATATTATTTGAGATAAATGTAGTATATAAATAATAAATAAACTATTGTATTTTTTAAATTATATATAGAATTTTTTTATTCGACCACAATTATATTCTTTAGAATTAAATCAGTTCATATCGATTTGACCAATTGCGTTATATCTCACAGACAAAAAAAACACGAAAACATATGTTATAGTGTCATATATCACATTATAATCATAAATAACTAAAATTAGCTCTAATATGTTTGAAAATAAAGTTTACTAAATTATATTATTTACCATTAACTTAATTTATGATCTATATTAACTATACTTTAATCTGTAAAATATAAATTTTAGGTCATATTTTTATTCTTGGTCTGTAATCCAAACGGACATGAAAATTATAAAAAAAGATGACAGTATGGAGTATATATCACTATATATTCTTTATCGGTTATAATAATATGTACCATTAAATTAGATTTACAATATAACAAGAAATATGTCATATCTTTGCGCTTTACATGGCATTTGAGAATTATAACAAAACGTGAAAAAACAATTTAATGATATGGGTAATATCATCACATAAATATGCTTACTAGGTAGGGTGCACTCTATTTGGCCCATATCAGTTCACAAATATACGCGACTGAATTAGATTTACAATATCAACAAGTAGCTAGTCACATCCGAGGCCTTGCATGGCAATCGAGAATTATGACAAATCATGATAAAAAATAACAATATGGATTATATGATCATATAAATATACTTATCATGTGGATTCCAATCTATTCGGACTATACGGGGATAATCTAAAATGTCAATTCAATTTACCAAATCATGTATAAGTTGTACGTTTTGTAGACTACACCCTAAATATTAAGTAAAATAACGGATGGAGTACACATCGTGTTTTCTCACCTTTGATTTCTATTAAATACGTATGGTGTGTGGGTATTTTGTATATACTAAGTTTTGTTAATTAGGGGACATAAACAATACTAAAGTTATATATGAGAATTCAAGCATTAAAAATACACTTCATAACATGAACGTACTTAACAAAAATGTACTTTAGTCTATGGTGCTTAAATATTTATAAATTCTCTAAACATACTAATTATTTCTGCTCTTATTTCAAACTAAATTCATTTTCTCCACATAATATAAGAGATCATATGAGAAAAAAAGAGGAGGGAGAAGAAGTAAATAGAAGTCTGCCATTAAACAGATAGAATAAAGACATCTATAACATACAAGAAAATTTGTTGATTAAGGTTTATAAACTCCAAATGTAAGATATGCTAATTTCTAAAAAAACACACACATGGTACACATAATAGTTCCATATGAAGCAACACTATTGTTGTGAAACAATAGTTTCTCGTAAATTAAAAACCACATGGTTTAAATAAATTTGATTTAGAATTTATATAATGAAAAGGTAATTAGAAGAAAATTAAAAGCGACGTTCACAACAATCTCAAATAAATTATTGATAAAAAACATGTTCAGAATAGAGTAAAAAAATATTTTAAGAAATACTCATCCACACATAAGTATTTATAATTAAAATTCAAGCAACATTAAATAAGGTGTCCCGCGCATGTGCGCGGGCTACCTTTCTCGTCTAGTGAATAACCGACAGCTCCTATAAGATTTATAATCCAATTCCCTTTTTCAAAACCAATTGGGACTACCTAAAAAAACTGTCGTAAGTTTTTTGAGAGGAAAACTTTCAAGAGTTATATTGTAACTTGCATATAACTATGTTGTACCTCCTCCGTTTCATATTACAAGACTTTCTAGCATTCCTTACATTCATATATATGTTAATGAATCTAAACATATATATGTGTCTAGATTCATTAACATATATATGAATATGGATAATGTTAAGGGTTATAATATGAAACGAAAGAAGCAACTCATATGTAACTTAGAGTATATCTATGAAAGACTTACAGCTAGCACAGTGGTACAACTCCGGTCTGCAAACTGAAGATCGTGGGATCGAATCCCAGCCACACGCTTGCTTTGTTTTTCCTCATCCTTGCTCTTGCACGAATCTCGGAGCAAGATCTAATGGTTAAAAAACGCAAGTTTTCTCTCCTAAAAACCGTCGACAACAATGTAGCAATTCCGAACCAATTAAGCACATATAAGAAGATGTACTTTGCATTGAAGGAGTAAAATCTGAAACATGTGCTTGATTATGTTGACATGTTGAAGAAGTAGATCTATATTAGCACCTTGCATTGGAGATACATAGGGCCAATCCCACGTGAAGAATTTTTTTTCCACAACTAGTCAATGTATTACAAATCTAGAAAATCAGAAATTGCGTCGACATCACACTTAGCTGTGTTGGGGTAGCCTGTATCCAAAGATTTTCCTTAAAATTGATTGTGCTCCAAAATGGTTTATCCCCCTCCAGCCCTGCAGCTTGATTAGTCCACAACTTGTCCAGCACAGCAATAGGCCCCAAAAGTGTATAGATGCTCATGCTCTCGAGTCTCGATCACACACGGACACAGAGTCTCCGCCGCATTTTCTTCTTCCCCAACCTCCACACTTTCGTCCTCCCCCCTTTCTCCTCCCCCTTCCCCAACCCACACCCACACACACTTCCAAGCTAGCCGTCTCCAACAACCCTCCCCCCACCATCCTCCCCATGTCCTCCTCCCTCCCCTCTCCCCTCCTCTTCCTCCTCCTCCTCCTCCCCTTCCCCGCCGCGGTTCGTTCCCAGCCGGCGGCGGCCCCCGCGCCGCAGCAGCAATGCCCGCTCAACTTCACCGCGCTCCGGCCCTTCCTGGCCCAGCCGCTCCCGCCCGACGACTCCGCGCGCTGCCTCCTCGCCGTGCAGTCCGTTCGCCTCCTCCTCGCGCTCCACCTCGCCGCCACAGGATCCTTCGTCCTCCCGGCTAACTCCTCCTGCCTCCCGCCGCTCCGCGCCGAGCTCCCCTTCGCGCTCCCGTCGCCCTCCGCCTGCGGCCTCCAGGGGCTCGACGCGCTCCTCGCGTCCCCGGGGTGCGCCAACGTTTCCACTCTCGGGGACTTCGACGCCGCCGTGCCGCCGTCCTCGCGGGCGGACATGAACGCCAGCTGCAACCGGGACCTCACCCCGGTCCCCGACTGTACCTCCTGCACCACCTCGCTCAGCAAGGCCGCGGCGGCCTACCTCCTCCCGGGCTCCCCCAACGACGGTGGGAACAACGTCACCGGCTGCGTCCAGTACCCCTTCATCTACGCCGGCGCCGCCGCCAGCCCGCGCGGCGCCGACGACCCAGCCACGGCCAACTGCCTCTACCTCCTCAAGGTGAACTCTGCTTCCAAGGCCAGCTCCAGCGTCCCTGGTTGGGTCTACGGCGTCGTGTTTGGCTGCGTCGCCATGGTTCTGCTCGTTGCCGCGGCGGCTGCCTCTTGGTTCCTGGTGCGGCGGCGGCGGAGGCGGGCCGCCGCCGCGGCGCTGGCCAAGGCCGCGGCCGACAGCAGGAGCAAGCGCTCGCAGGCGATGGAGTCAATCAGCGCGAGCACCACGCTAGTCCAGTTCACCTACGACGAGATCAAGGCGGCCACTGGGGGATTCGCAAGGGAGAGCATCATTGGCCGCGGTGGGTTCGGCAATGTGTACAAGGGCGTGCTCCCGGACGGCGCGGAGGTGGCCGTGAAGCGGTTCAAGAACTGCTCCGCGGCTGGGGATGCCGCGTTCGCGCACGAGGTGGAGGTCGTGGCCAGCGTCCGCCATGTCAACCTGGTCGCCATCCGTGGGTACTGCATCGCTACCACTGAGAGAGAAGGCCACCAGCGAATGATTGTGTGTGACCTGATGCACAATGGCAGCCTGCACGATCACCTGTTCGGTGCCGGGGAATGCCAGATGACGTGGCCGGTGAGGCAGAGGATTGCCATAGGGATGGCGCGCGGCCTGGCCTATCTGCACCGCGGGGCGCAGCCCGCCATCATTCACAGGGATATCAAAGCGAGCAATATCTTGCTTGATGACGACTTTGAGGCCATGGTGGCTGATTTCGGATTGGCCAAGTTTGCACCGGAAGGGATGACGCATGTGAGCACAAGGGTTGCTGGCACGCTGGGTTATGTCGCTCCAGAGTATGCACTGTATGGCCAATTGACTGAGAAGAGTGATGTCTATAGCTTCGGAGTTGTACTTCTTGAGCTTCTAAGTGGAAAGAGGGCATTTATCTCTCTTGGTGAAGGCCAGAACTTTGTGCTCAGTGAATGGGCTTGGTTATTGGTCCGGAGGGGGAAGACAGTGGATGTGATCCAAGAAGGAATGGTTGAGCCTGGTCCTACTGAGGTAATGGAGAAGTATGTACTTGTCGCAGCACTCTGCACGCATCCTCAGCTGCACGCTAGGCCAACAATGGATCAAGTGGTGAAGATACTAGAGGCAGATTCAGCGTCAGGTCCTTTAATTATTCCGGAGCGGCCTCTTCCGGTAGTCGCAAACCTGGCTGAGATTGAGAGATCAGCCAGTAGCAGTGGCTCAGGTCAGCTGTTTAGTCCCTCTGGTTTCCGGTCTTTTACTCATATAAATGAAGATGCTGCTTTGGAGTCTCCTAAAGAAGAATGACACTTTTCTTAGCTGAGTAGAGAAAAGTTTATTTCTAGATTCTCTGTGTACCATATTTTTTTTGTTAGCTTGATTTCTCTTAATGGAATTACTCAATTGTGTAGATAGAAATTGTACTTTTGCCCCCACCCAGGAAATGTAAGATTCTTTGGTGACAGTTGAATTCATTTAAAACATATCTGCTTTTTTATTTCTTTATCATATATTTGACATTTAAATATCATTGATTCATTAGTGTGGACTGTTTTTTTCTATTGGATCGTCAAGATGAGAAACAGGAAGATTAAAACAATTCCCTGTTATAAATTTAGTTTGCATATTGTAGAACAAATTGTGCTATGGAGTTCAAAGGTACCTTTCACTTCTAGAGTCAGATAATAAGAATAAATACATTATATATTCATATTCTTCTATTGAATTGTCTCGTATCTTGAAATCGGTAGGCATAGAAATTCTGAAATTTTTACATTTTGGTCCTTTTTGAAAACTTATTTTACAAATAGACCCCTGGGAAAACTTAAACCGGAAATGGTCCTTTTTGGGACGCCAGAGTGGCTGGCGCCGTACCCCAACATGGCGGCGCCAGCCACACTGGCGCCGTGCCCGTGCCACCGTGGCAATAGGGCTGTCGTGGAGGTGCTGACTAGGCCGAAGGGGGCGCCAGCCAAAGTGGCGCTGCCCCTCATAGCACGGCGCCAGCATGGCTGGCGCGCCCCTCCTCTGCGGGCCCCACCAACTTTCTCTCCCCCCCCCCCAAATTTTCGCCAAGTCTGTTCTGCCTCCAGGCAACGGCTGGCGCCCCCCCTCCCGACCGCGGCGCCAGAGTGGCTGGCGCCCCCCTCCTCCCCCCATCGAAGCCCTTCTGCCTCCGGGCCTCGGCTGGCGCCGCCCTCATGGACCACGGCGCCAGGGTAGCTGGCGCCGCCCTCCCCCAGCCCGAAACCCTTCTGCCTCGCGGCACTGGCTGGCGCCGCCCTTCCCAACCTCGGCGCCAGGGTGGTTGGCGCCGCCCTCTGCCTCCCTGCAAATTGAAGATCCATATTGCACAGATGTACCAATTCACAGTTCGCAATTCAAATCACAATTCACAGATTCGTACAGACTAAAACAGGTTCCAATTGCACAAATCACAATGCCAAAAGTCCATCACATAGTCCTCAGATAGTCCATCACATATTCCACACATCAAACAATGCCAAAAGTCCATCACATATCCCACACATCAAACAATGCAAAAAGTCCATCCTATATTCCACACATGAAACAATGTCAAAAGTCCATCACATAGTCCTCACATAGTCCATCACATTTTATATCACATAGTGCACCACATATGTCATACTACCAACCAATAGATTAACTTCATACAAATTACTTCTTCCGTTGGCGCCGAATTGCTTGCGAGCCCGGAGTGTACCTACATTTGAAAATCCAATGTTTAAAACATTTTAAAAACAAAATAAGGGAAATCAAATAACATTTGAGAATGGTAAGCTCATTTTACCTCTTTTTCGCTGCCCGAGTGGATCGCAAGTTGTATTGCGTGGGTTGCGTCCCCTGAGGCGCGTCGGGAAGCTGTGACATGTCTATCTTCTCGGCGTCTGGTGCGACGTAGTCCTCATCCTCCTCGTCCTCATCGTCATCGTCGTCGCTAGGTGGAGCCGGCGCCTTCCCCTTTCCCCTCCCTTGCTTAATGCGTGACGACGACGAGCCACCAACTCCTTCACGCTCTTCTATCCTGATAGAGTGTCGAGCAGTACTTGGACGCGCGGATTGAGGTAGTGGTGGTGGTAGTCTCCCCGGTTGGTACACGTCGTCCAATCCAACCGACCTGCAACCTAATCTTGCTGCAAGTTTCCGGCACCTTTGACGAACTTTCTGCATTTCAAAAAAAAAAGAAGTTTGTTAGGCATAACTCAAGTAATGCAAAGTGCTAAATAAATTTTACCTCTAAAACATTGCGGAGCGTGTTCTCCGTGTCCTCATCACCCCTCGGAGCTTGGAGGGCATGCCCCATTTCATTCACACTCCTGAGGAGCTCTCTCGACTGAAAGCGTGAAAAGATATATGTTAGGGTCTAGGGTGCAAATGGAAGTAACTTTGACAAATGCAAGAAAACTTACGACTCTGTCTCTAAGTGGGGCGTGCTCCATTTGATATCCAACTCTAGTCCGGACATCATAGGGATTCCGTCCCTCATCGGAGTCGCGGTCATCCTCTATGTCGGCTTCCGTCCAAGTAGGGCGGAGGAACAGTCTATATGTCCTATGCAGCCAACGAAGGTACTCTGAGAAAAGATGATTTTGGTGTATAGTCTCGATGTACCTATCGTTCCTTCCGGCTGTTCTCCATTCATCAATGTATCTATTATGCTCTAGCCCCCAGTCTTTCACCTTCTTTGTTCTCACCCTGTCATACCTAGACAAGTAGAAGGTGATGAAACAGTAGTGAGCATCGACAATGGTTAAATGGTACAAAATTGAACATTGACAATGAAAGCAAACAAAGATAAGAAATATTTACTTGTGTAATTCAACTCCAGTTGAGATGTCCTCAACCGGCCAATCTTGTTTCTTCCCGAACTGTCGCATGACACGGTGTGGAAGGTGGTACTCAACTGCCCAGAAACAAATCAATGGGCACTGGTACATGAAATAGTCAGAGTCTCGATTGCACATCGAGTTCAGGGTCAGGCTTGAAGCCTCATTTGTGTGGTATGGTAACCACTTAATCTGCAAAAGTTGAAGAGATGTCGTTGGTTAGTATCTCAATTAAAGAAGTAAATGTCTATCTAGAAGTAATATTGGAAGTACTTACATGTTGAGGCTGCAAGCAGTCCATCTCATTGACATAATGCTTGTATGCCACATCCCGGTGAGCATGTGCAGTGTCAGTACTCTCAAAAAGGTAGGCCACTGTCTTCTCCATGTCTGGCTCATTGTAGGGCCAAGGAGTGAAGCTTTGCCTCCACTTAGGCCTTCCAACCGGTAGTCTTAACCACATCCACATCTGAATCAACGAGCATCTATTTTGCACCGGCGCAGCATCAAGTTGAACGCATGAAGGTGGTTTCCTTCCAGAACCACCTAGACCCGAGTCCATTTCGTTCTTGAATCGTTTCGATCTCCTCTTCCCTCTTGTTTTAATCTTCAGATAAACGTGTATAAGATGTGAGCAAGGCATATGGTAGAGCAATGGCCTTTGGCAAGAACATGAGTTCCCCTCACCTTTAACTTTGAAGGCTCTTGCGCCGAATCTAACACCACCACACGTTATACCACCCCTCTCTGTGACCTCGTATGTCTTTTTCTGCTTATCGAAACACCTTGCAGTGTGTTTGTTCGCCTTACTTTCTTGCACCTTCATCTTACTGTCAACCTTGGTGGACCAACGCTGCCCTAACTGGACTCGCTTCAAAGCTTCATCATGTCTGTTCACAATGTAGTCATTGCACTTCATGAACGTAAATGATACGATGGCCGTCACTGGAAGCTTACGAACACCAACTAGCACGCTATTGAACTGTTCGGCCATGTTGGTTGTCATGTAACCCCACCAGCGGCCATTTCTATCGTATGCACGAGACCACTTATCTTTATCCAACAACTCATCTTCAAGCCATTTACGAGGACCTTCGGGAATACGCTGCCTTAGTGCCTCAACATCCCTCTCAAATATCCACTTCTCGTCAATCTGACATATTCTTAGGAGCTCTTTTGTCTGATGCTTGTCCGCACCGGCCTTGTGGAAATTAGCACTGAAGTGCCTCATGCACCACCGGTGGTGAACCGATGGCAATCCTGGAACAGGAGTCATCATGGCATTCATTATACCAGCATGTCGATCTGAGATAATACAAACCTCCCTATGCGGCCCAACCACAACCCGTCGGACAAGATCGATAAACCAGCACCAATCTCGTGAATTCTCTTTCTCCACCAAGGCAAAAGCTAAAGGTACAAGTTGGTCCTCCGCATCAGCTGATAATGCAGTCATCAAGGCACCACCGTATTTCCCAGTTAGGAAGGTTGCATCTATAGCTAGTACTGGCCTACAATGCTTAAAAGCCTCAATGGAAGGACCAAAGCACCAGAATGCACGCATAAAAATTTTCTTGGTCACTCCATCAACGTTGACAACCCTATCAGGATGAGTATCGATGTGGTAGACCATACTGGGATTCCTCTGCTTAATGGCTTGCAGCAAAGTGGGCAAACGGACATACGCTTCACCCCATTCACCGTAAATGAGCTTCATAGCCTCCTCTCGTGCCCTCCAAGCCTTGCCATACTTCACCCTATACTGGAAAACCTCAAATATATACAAAGCTAACACAGAAGCAGAGAGTGTAGGTTGCAGTTTTATGGCATTGCATAACCTATTTGCTATGAACTTTGATGTCAGTTGCCGGTGGCTCCCTGAACCTTCGGCAGTAGCACAACTATGTTCCTTACCTACCCGTGATATCCTCCACGTGCCACTAGACCTCTTAGTTGCATGGACCTTCCATTTGCACCGTGGGTTTTCACATTTAACAGTGTACCTCCTATTTGCGGCAGAATTGACAACACGGTATGGACGATGGTGCACGATGGCGTACTCCTGGAGCCATAGCTTCAATGCGACCATGGATGGGAACTCTAAACCCTTTCTGAGACCATCCACCTGGAATGGTTCTGGCAACTGATCTAGGTTGATGCCGCCATCTAGTAGTGCACCATGGGCATGTGTTAGGTCCCTAAACTCAGGAATGTCCGGCTTCCTCCCAAACACCTTCTCAAACGCACGACATTCCTCTAATGCTAACTTGTCATTATTAGTAAGTGGAGGGAATGGACGGTCATCATCAGAGTCTTCAGCAAATTCAACATCATATTGCTCAACACTTGCCTCCTCGTCAACATCATCTCTATTGACTTCTACTGAGACAGAATCGTGACCACCACTCAATTCGACATCAAAGTAATCATCTGGATTCACATATTGGCATGCTACTTCTGTCGGGTATTCAGGGTTGACTCCGTACGACGACCAATGAACACTCGCCGACAAATGTTCACTTAGATCAAGCCCCTCTTGTACTAACTCCCTTTTCATCACCCTCGCTGCATCCACATCATCAGTACCGCAATGTCTCTTTGATGGTCCTGCCTCCCATAAATCTTTTCCAAGCAAAGGTCTCTTCTTCTCTCCTTCCCCCTCCAAGTCTTCTCGTACCAACTCACTCTTACTTGCACCCCCTCCACGACGAGAATAATATGTCACAAAATTCTTCTCAACGTAATGATAAGAAGGAGATTTGTTTAGATCCAAATTTTCTACGGTACGAACTAACTTTGATGCAAACACCTCTATTGATCTAAACTGAGACTCTTTTACCAAATCAAAGTAAACTTCCCATTCCAACTGACCTATCACATTTAATATATACTTATGCCCTTGACCAACATCGTATCTTCCATAAAAACGAATCTCCACATTATCCTCGGTCCATCCAAGAACTTCTTTCACTCGTGACCTTAGTTCATCTAGAGTTGGGTGGGTGGGAAACAAAATGGTCTTCAATGACATATCCTCAAACTCAACATGTCCACCAACATAAGGTTCCACCACTCTACCACCGTAGTAAACACGAACAAGTCTATCCATCTACACCAAAAAATCAAATGTAACTTTGCAACAAAAATTAAATCTTCATTCCTAAACGTAGTCCAAACCGACATATTATAACCAATGCATAACTTAAATTGTCCCAAAGCTACTACTCCAAAAAAATATTTAATCCACCTACAACTATCAACAAGTTTACTACTACATTACACATCGAAATATTACAAATACTCTATCATACAACCCAAACCTCCATCATGCCTCAACCATAATTTTTCATCCATCCATCCAACCAAACCATCCAAAAATTAACATTACCACATATATGGTTAAAAAAATCATGACACCAATGAGTACATTGCAAACATGTAGCACTACAACAAGCCAATCCTAAGAACAAATGCTAAAAATCACAAATTTGGGTAAAAAAGGGGTTCTAGGGTTACCCACCGATCTACAAATTCAACCAATAAAAATGAAAAAAAAGAAGGGGGAATGAAGGAGTCTACCTTTCTCTTCGATTTCCACAACAAATCCCGCGAAAAACGGCTTCAAATTGAGTGGATTTGAGGTGGAGAGGTGAGGGGGAGAGAGAGGGAGAAGAACAGCAGCTCGCTGCTCGGGCTGGGAATGGCGAAAATGGGAGTGGGGAGGAGAAAGGTGGTGGGGCCCACGGGGTTTAAGGCACAGAGGAGGGACGCGCCAGCTATGCTGGCGCCATGGTATGAGGGGCGACGCCATTGTGGCTGGCGCCCCCTTTCTGCCCAGTCAGCACCTCCACGACAGCCCTAGTGCCACGGTGGCACGGGCACGGCGCCAGTGTGGCTGGCGCCGCCATCTTGGGGTACGGCGCCAGCCACTCTGGCGCCCCAAAAAGGACTATTTCCGGTTTAAGTTTTCCCAGGGGTCTATTTGTAAAATAAGTTTTCAAAAAGGACCAAATTGTAAAAATTTCAGCATAGAAATTACTTGCCAGTTACCACTGATTATCTGTTTTCAAGGTAATTCATGATATTGTTGGTAAATTTTTTTTTGAAAAGATTGCTCTTGAATACTTGGTTATTATTATCTGTAGCACCAATCAGAAGCTACAACGTCACCTTGGAGGTTATTAATCAATTTGAGCACCTGCTTGACAAATTGAACATTTGCTGCTATATATGTGCTAATGCAGTAATCTGAATTTATTTGGAATAATCAATGGCAAGTTATACTAGACTGAACACCAGGTAGTATTGGAGGAGGATCAAAACTATTGAAGTGATATTATTGTGAACAATTTCACAATTTAATATCACTTCAATACTTCCATAGTCCAAGTACGATTAACTGTTTCATGGAATTTAATGACATTATTATACTTTTCGTGGAATTTACTGAAGATTCTTTGACAATTTGGGGTTTGGATATACTTATTAATGTTAAATTTGTAATTTGTGGCCTTGGAAAAACTAGTTTGATTTGTACTAAGAATCACTTTTGCTATTTGTCATGTCACCTGAAAATTTCTTGATTGTTAACACCTAAGCTTGCACATTGCATAATCTTAACTTGCAGAATATATAAAACCACAACTTTAGTATAATTTACTTCAAATTAAAGTTTACTTTGTTTGCCTCTCTAGTTTTGATTTTTATCTTGTTTCTTAGTGGTTCGGATTCATTAAATAAAATACAGTGACTTTATCTTAAGTAAGAAATGAAAATATTAATTTCTTTTGCTATTGGGCGTTGGTCTAGTGGCCTCAAAAAGGGTTTGATAGATAAGAAAAAATAGCCACTTCATTACTTGATGGTATCATAAAAAAATAGTTTAGCTTTTCTCTCTCTCTCTCTCTCTCTCTTTTTTGGAGAAAGGGTTAGTAAAGCTTAGTTTTTTTTAAAGGATTAGTAAAGCTTTCTGGGATCACTAACTTAGATTAGATACCACGAATTGTGAACAACTTGTCCCTTTAGTCACCATTTATATCTGAGGAAGCTAGGGATGATTTCGTTGCACACTCAAGTCACTCTAAAGTCTAAACCGAGGTTTCCTTGTTTCACCTATATACTTGTTTGCTTTCAGGATTTTTCTCTGTTCTTAGTCTTGCAGATTCCAGGCTCGGTCTAATCGCCAATTTGGCAATCTTTGTATGCTCTACAATTCCGTGCTGGCATATGCCAACTCCAGGTACGAATTATGTAAATTTCAGAGACTTCATTCTGTTCTCTCTGTTCAACACTTGGTTTAGTTTCAAAACTTCAAAAGGAGCATAATCTAGTGATAGGAGAGAATCCCACAAATTCCATTGCTAAAACCAAAGTTACTTGTTCGCTCTGTCTCTGTAATGCTTTCAGTAATATATATTGGTCCTGCATACAACAAATCATAAGAATCTAAATTGCTGTTGCTTTTGAAGTTGGCATTCCCAATATCCTTTGTTGTGTTGGAACAGTTCACATCAGGCTGTAGACCAAGTTGGATCAGCTTGAACGAATCAAGCACTTGTTACATTCTGTCTGTTGTTGAAGCAAAAGGCCCCCACGAAGAAACATCGATCATATGCACCAAGGGTATAACAGAGGAGGTCGAATCCCATGTCTTGTGGTGGCTGCAGGCCTGTAGCCAAGCGGATCCGTCCGCCTGCCAGCAAAATGCATCTGACGGATGCTACGAAAAGAGAGACGATGTTGCAGAGGTAACAAGAGACGCTCGAAAACCCGGCGGGTGTGGTGAGATTCTGCCACTAATCATGGACAAATCACGGACAAATCGAGCATCTATCACAAACCAGCTTTAAACTTTTGAGAGTTAATTTTACTTTGGGCGACGCTAATGGGCGGCCAGCGATCACCCCCCATCCCCCTATACGTCCTCTCCCCCTTCCTTCTCCCCTTCTTTTCTTCCTACTACACCATAAATTTTAAAATAATAAAAAAAACAAAGTTAGAAAATTTTATGTATAAAAATACTATATATAAAAAATATTTGAATTCAAATTTAAATTTAAATTGGATATATAAACTTTTTACTTATAAACTTTGGGTCTAAAGTAACTTTAGGTATATAGAAATACTATATATAAAAAAATTTAAATTTAAATTTAAATTCAAATTTGAATCGGGTATATAAACTTTTGACTTATAAACTTTGGGACTATAAACTTTAGGTGTATACAAATACTATATATAAAAAAATTGAATTCAAATTCAAATTAATATTTGAATTTAAATTCAAATTTGAATCGGGTATATAAACTTTTGACTTATAAACTTTGGGTCTATAAACTTTAGGTGTATAAACTTTAGATGTATAAAAATACTATATAGAAAAAATATTTGAATTCAAATTTAAATTTGAATCGGATATATAAACTTTTGACTTATAAACTTTGGATCTGTAATATTTAAGTGTATAAACTTTAGATGTGTAAACTTTAGGTGTGTAAACTTTTGGTGCATAAATTTTCTAAAATATGAAAGTAATGCGGTGTCAAAAAAGGAAAGTGGAGGGAGGGGGGATTGATCGCCCGGAGCGCTTGATCGCTCGTTAGGATTCTCGTTTTACTTTGGGCCACTTTTTATTACCGATGTTTCGCTTTGGACCACCTTAGGACCAATGTTTTCACTTTGGACCGGATATTTTTACCTTTGTTTCACATTGGACCACCCTCACTCTTTTATCCATCTACATCCAACTTGTAATATGTCGAAGAAATAGTCTTACATATAGCTGTGGCAGTTCATTGACGAGTAGGAGACGGCGTAATCGAGATCGTTCATATGCTTGAGAAGAGAGTTGGGTGGTCCAAAGTGAAACAAATGTAAGTTTACCCAGTCCAAAGTAAAAATATTGCTTAAATGGTGGTCCAAAGTGAAACATAGGTAACAAAAGGTGGCCCGAAGTGAAATTTACTCAACTTTTGAATACCTTTTCTATTGTACATAAAAAAGAGTTGTGGTGATTAAGTGTTTCTTATTTGGTACTGGTATAGTATATCTCCTAACCAGAATCAGCACCAATCTTTAACCTCGCATTGCTAACATTTGGGCTTTGGCTGACTGGAAAAATGTTTTTGCGTCTCATTTGTACTATCAAAAGATATAGAGGATCACATCAGGAATAAAAGGAAAATCGAAAGTATGATTTGGCTGCAAGTCCATTAACATAAGGATTTCAAGAATTAGGTGGAGTCGCAATTGTTTAAATCTTTGCTGATAAATTGAAGTTCACAAAGAAGAAACTGTTTCTGTCTACCAATTTTTACTCTTATATTCAGTCCTCTCATTTTCCTGTACTAACCATGATTAACACGCCTGAAACAATTGAGACTATCAATTGGTTCTTTCAAGTTTTTGCAAACTGTTGTCTCAAATATTCAATGAGGCAAATTATGATGGTGCAATGAACATTGGTTTCTAAAGTATGTAAAGAATATGCTCATGATAATCTTTGCATTGTGTACTTGTGTTGTGAACTATTGCAAAAAGTACATCTTTATATCACTAAAAGAATTTTAAGGTTGCTGTTGCATAAAGAGATTGAGTACTCTGTGTTGACTTGCTGATAGAATTTATCTACCATTTAAATCCTTAAGATGAATTGATCTCTCACTTTTCTCCTTTTTTTTGTAGGGTACATGGCGGAGCTAAACACTATGCAAACGGTGGTTTATTTTGCTGTGTCTTAAACATAGTAGTGATATCTAGCAACTAGCAAGGGACTACTACAATCTTTCAGTATCCAAGCACATAGTTAAACAAAAACTTACAGATAGCAACACAAACTAAAAGAATTGAATTGGGAAGGGAATACCATAGACATCTATGGAGTATTAATATAGAACACACAAACAAGAGTTTAATTAGGTGCTTAACTATAAGCAAGAAAGGGACATGTGGTGGAATTCTATTATGAGATAACTGATGCATAGTACTTGTAACACCATGCGCCTTAATTTAGTATTTTTGAAAAATAATTAAAAGTCAGGAAAATTTAACTTTTCAAGCTGTTGCACGGATGAACAAGGACCATGGTATTCCAGACATACATATATAGACACACATTAGGTCCTGTTCTTTTCTCCAACAAGAGTTGGATGAAAATTAAGATTTTCGTGGTACGCGTTTCAAACTGCTAAACGGTGCGTTTCGTGCGAAAACTTTCTATATAAAAGTTGCTCTAAAATATCATATTAATCTATTTTTCAAGTTTGTAATAATTAAAACTCAATCAATCATACGTTAATACCACCTCGTTTTGTGTAAAAAACTTAATCTTCATCTTCATCTTCATTTTCAGAAGAAAAGAAGAGTTAGCGATAGCGACGCTCCTAATTCTTACGGTGCTAACGGTTGACGGTCGTTAAGTGTAAACTTTAACCATCAACTGCTATATAAAAGAATATAAAATATATCATCAAACTTACTTGTAGGGGTTTACTACTAACCATTATCACTCGTATTGGTAAATATGAGTATGCAGGTGATTTCTAAATGAAAACACACCCGTCTTGCGACGAAATGCATCTCCGACCAATCGTACACGAGCGCTAGGATTGGAGGGTCCACATGACAGTCAAAACCGATATAAAATGGGCTTATCCACGATGCACTAATATAGGGACCCGCCAGTCGGCCTCCTAGCCGAAGAAGCAGCTCGGAAGTGGGGCCCACAGTTTGGCCAAACTAGGGGCTCAGCCGAATCTTCACTGCCACCTCCCATCCTGACCTTCCTTATGTAGGCTCCAGATGCACTCCTAGTGGTGGTTATGTTGGTAACCTTCATAGCACACTATAAAAGGACAAGAAACTCTCATTTCCAATACAAGACTTAAGTGGAGTATAACTCACATCCATATTTTAAGGCATCACCTTAGTATGTGGAATTAGGTAGAAAGTGATGGGAAGCTCTGGAAGAAATGCCCCCAAATATCGGAGTTCTCTTTGGGAAGTTCAGAAGGAGTGTCAGGTTTGTTGACATTCTTCCACTCGAGTTCCGGAGAAGCATTGGAGTTGTCAGCCTTCTTCTGTTGCTTGACCTCAGCGAATGCTTGTTTTAATAAAGTAAGTATTTGAGATCTCCATATAGTATTTAATTATTTGCTTGAGTGAGATATAGTTACATCGTTACGGGTTCGTCGCTTAGTTCAATTATTATGTGCTCTAGTATTAGGACTCTGAGTAAAGAATGAAGTTTCTGCGCGAGGCTAGAGTAATTATCAATAACTTAGGCGCGGTGTCTAGGTTAGTGGTTTCCTTTATTTGTTGTGTGCTCCATGCAAAGTGAGGTATGCGGCAGGTGGTGACAACCTTGTCCATCTTTTATATCCCTCCATGTTTACGTACATTGACTCAGTTTGTCAAACCAGGAGAGTGCTAGTGCTCAAAGCAATTGATAGAGTTTTACCTTTAACTCAAGTATAGTACATTAACCCGTAAGAATCTTCTTTAGCCTTAGCCTACCATTAGGTGCTGTCCTTGGATAGAATCCTATTATTAGATATGCACACAATCCCTATGATTTGATACCTTTGGAATACTCTAAGTTGAAGTGCTACAGCGGTATCTGTGCGCTTCCGATTTTTATTTTACTATATCAAATACTAACAAGCATTTCTGACGCTGTTGCCATGGAACGGTTGCTATATCATCTTCAAACCTGATTCATCCTCATATCTTTTCTTTGTTGTCCTTCCTTTCTCTTCTTACCTAGCACGGAGCACCTTTCTATTCAAAACCTTTATGCTCCAAGGACCGAGTTCTGTGAGCCACCTTTTTCTTCAAACATATCTGTTCATCTGGTATGAACTCCGTCCTAGCTTAAGAGCCATGGTTCGGGAATAATCCTTCTCAGGATGTGAAAGCGAAAATCCCTACCATCATTTGCGTGAGTTTGAGCAATTGTGCTTATGCCTGACAATAACGGACATGACATAAGAAACCTTAAAGTGGAAATTGTTTCACTTCTCTCTTACAGAGGGGGCGAAGCAATGGTATACTCATACCATGAGAAAACTGCATATTGATGGGACAAATTAAAAAGCATATTATGCCTTGCTTTCTTCCTGTTAACCCGTGTAGTCTCTCTACGTGGAGGTTCACGCGAAAGAATCCATTGGTGCAGCCTATGCTCGTTTCTCCTTGTTAACTCAAGACGACACAGACTTTTCTTTACCGATCATGTGTTGTTACAACACTTCCACTCGGGTTTAGACAAGATGTCTGCCATGTATCTCGATACTTCTGCTGTAGGTTCGTGCGCACACAAAACGATGTCTGTGGACACCCCGAGTATTATACCATCCAGTGTCCAACGCGAACACCACATACTATTGGAGAAGTGGGATCCATACACGCATAAATAGCCACTCATCCTCAATGTGTCCATGATCGCGGTTGACAACCTTCTGTTATAATAACTGGAATGCCAAGTAGTGAACACAAGAGATAATCATAAGATAGCTTGCCAGTCTACTCCGTCATATGTCCGTCAACCACTCGAAGGTGGCGACCAAAAGCATACCCCAGTGACTCGATCCAAGGCACTATCCCCGATTATCTCAAGCGATCAAAACCCGTTACTCATGCTTAGCTAGTCCGTAGGAATGCGACTAGCCTCACACTTTCATCGCAAGCAATTAATAAACATAGCAAGTACCATAATAGGGTTAAAGTGCAGCAGGTACATGACACATAATAGGGTCCAAGATCCCAACATACAACACATAAATATAGCAGCAGAAGTCTCAATTAGAGTTCATAGGCAAAAGATAAAATCGGTGGTGCCACAACCCCACTAGGGCAAACCAACCGGGCAAGAGCCAAGCTGCAAGAGATCACTCATTGCCCTCGCCACCCTCAGCAGAGCAATGACCACACAAGAAGCATAACTCATAACCGGAATCCTCTCCTGAAATTGCAGACACCGGGTTAAGTACAAGATTGTACTCGCAAGTCTTACCCAAAATTATATATACATAAGGGAGAGAGAAGTATGCAAGCTTTCTAGCCTATAGTGGGTCTCTAGGTTCAACGTTTGCATAAAGCTAATTTTATTGAGAAATTAATGAGTAAAATAAGTAAGGACAAGTAACTCTAGCATCATTTTAATTTATGGACAGCAAGTATATAATTCTGAAATATATAAGCAAATGAGCCCAAACGGCGCTCTCATCATCAACCATGGACTACCAAAGTCCATACCAACATGGCACAACATGCCAACACCACCATCAAACATAATCCCATCCATAATAATCCACATTTGATTCTAACATAAGTGACTAACACATCAAGCATTGTTCATAACCGAGGACGCGGCTATTCGAATAGATTATACTCTGATCAAAGGTGTACAACTGGACCCACACGAAATGAACAAATATCAAATGCTACACACCCCGTCGAGTGCGGTACATAAGTGATTCAAGCTCATTACATGCCCTTTCTTAGCCCCACCCCAACCACCTATACTACGCTGGGGTTCCCGACGACTCAGTCACGTGCGTGCATGATGTGACCAAGGCGGGCGCGCCACGCGGGAGGCACCCCCGGCCAAACCTAGGCACCCGAGAACCTCCAAAGGCTACCTGCCTCACGACTCTCCAACGTAGTATAAATGATCACAGTAGAACTAGTAAGAACAAGCCGGTCCCAAATAAGGCATGTGGTAAGTACATAGGGTGCTTGATTAGATGTCAAAATGTTCGGTCCTTAACGACCTAGATGGGGCTACTTGCATCAGGGGAAACCAACCTCCCATCATCGCCCTATCACCCGTCCAAGTCCAACATATTTCATCAACCATTATTTAGTGTAAGTGCTCAAGTTTTATGCCCAATAATGCAAGTTGTCTATATACCACTATTAAGCACTGTCTATCCCTATAGTTCTATTAGCACTAAGCATGGCTAAGCATTAATGAATAAGACATCCCAAGTAATCCCAACCAGTGGTAATAGGGTATAAGACAACGATATCACAAGAACTAAATGCATTAATAGGTTCTACCCATACACCATAAACCGACAATATTAATATCTAGGCAATACATGCATATATATATATATATATATATATATATATATATATATATATATACATATAGATTGCAACCAAATCATTTTTAGAGAAAGCATAGGTTCTATATGCTTAGGTGCTTGCCTTGCTGCTGCGTGGAAACACACTCAACCTCAGAGTCTTGCTCCACATACTCCGAATTCTCCGAATCTATCGATAAGAGGCAAATATGCAAATAAGATTCGAATAAACATGCATATGCAACATGCTCTACAGAACACGGGGTAAACACAGTGGACATGTCACATTTTCAAGAAGAACATGGGTGAAAAGAATGACCCTATTTGCTGCCATGATTCTGGAGATATAAAAGTGACGAGCCACAAATGCTGAAAATGGTCCTATGCCAAAACTGAATATAAACTATGGGTCATTTGGTGATCCCCACATATTCTAGCAAATTTTCATGGGTGAAACTTGCTCCATACAAAAGAGTATAATTTACTGGTGATAGGAATAGTATTCGATTATTTAATTTGGAGTTTGAACAAGATAGTAGGTATATATGAAACCTAGAGAGTGAGAAAAAGAAAACTGCTGCCTGCAGCCCTTGTGCCCAAGATTTGATTCGAAAGTTTACTTTACAAATGCTCAGTGATTGAGGAAAATGAAGAAGGCATGATTTAGCTCAGCTATTGGTTTTGTAAATACAATTTTTACAAGGTGCTGGTTAGTCTATGAGGGATTAAGTCGTAACATGAAGTTTCTAGCTGGCCTAAGAACTTATGATGCTGAAAGGTAGCAACTTGCTTCCAATGGCAACTCATAAAGGTCCAAAGGTTGCTGTTACACTCCATGCATGCATATACTTTAAAATGCAGGTGGTCAGGTACTGTGGTTGCGAAGGTTGGAGCACAAACAGCCATAGCACAAGAACAAATCGATGAAGAAGAAAAAAAATGGTGATAGCAACCTGAGTAAACTGAGGGGGATGGGGGTTGTAATGGTCGGAGTGGAGAGAAACGAGTTGCAACTGTTCTATGCTCTAAAATCTTGCATCAATGACCTGTGGAGAGAGGTAGGGAGGCTCAACACAATGGCACTCACAAGAGGGACACAATGGATGGGAAGGAAACTCACCAAGTGGAGGAAAAACATGGTTGTTGTTTTGTTGCTGCAACCAGCAGCAAGCTCCACCTATTTTCTTCCCGATCTCCCTCACGAACCCATGCATGTGCAAGATATTTGGATGGATGGGAGGCTTGGATACTTGAGATTGCTGTGGTGTGACATGCAGGGATGGATCTCAAGTGTTTGGAGGAGATTTGATGGAAAGAAGTGAACTGGGAGCTCAGCTTGCAAGAAAGAAAAGAACAAGCAAGGGAGAAAGAAAAAAGGAAGAAGATGAAAGGGTTTCTTGCTAGTCTTATGGACCTGAGGTGGGTGGACGACCTGGAGGTGGGATGGGGCTTGGTGGAGAGCCTAGGTCAGTGAAAGGTGGGGCCAAGTTGAGCTGGGTCATGGGACAGATAAAGGAAGGTTAGAACCTTACATACACATTGAAAATAGTGAGTTTTCAAGAATTTTCCTTCTCTCCTTCTTGGGTAACTAGTTTGTCCTAGCTAAAAGAGAGTCAAAAATGTGTGTTCTGGCATGGAGATAGATTGAGTTACGTAGTTTCCATTTTTCAAAGTTTCACTCAAAAATTTGAAATATTTTAATTCTGGCAAAAAGGTGAAATGGGGTATGCTGAGAACTAAATTGAATTTTAATGAGGTCAAAACTGAGTGTAAAAATTCTAGAAAAATTATATTAACTCATAATAAATAATCTAGTATTTGAATAAATTATAAAACCTATATCCTTCAGTTCAACTTTAGGCACATTTAGAAGTTGCTTCATTTTGCCAATTAGGTTTCTATTAACTAAGTGTGACTATATTTGACTGATATATTTGAGGTAGTAAAAAGAATGATAAAATTATGAAACCTTCATAGTGGTCATCTTAGGTTGTCTAAGTGACATGAGGATCTTCATGGATTTTATGTTGCTTAGATTTGTTATATAAAGTCTCTATGTTTATTTAACATGTATCAACCAATTATGAACGACATAAAAATCATTACAAACAAGTACACAAGCACACAATCACTTGTTACTAATTCTACTAGCCAATTGCGAAGCATGGTCAGGTAGATTATCCAAAGAGCGAAAGATTAACAACTATACTACAACGTTTCTTAACTACCGCTTGACCATTTAATTTGGTTATATACATAGAGGCTTGGACAAAGCTTAGAAGCTAAAAGAAGACACCAAACACCAGACCAAACACTAGAGCTTCATGGATTATCTAGTATTCAGTCAGTTTGGTCTCTAGAAACATTGTTCCCCTTGTGGAAGGGAAAACAAAAATTAGTCTAGCTACTCCTCGAAACTGTTGGTAGATTTTATTAGCACCAAAACACTCTCTGAACGATGGATGAGTCATTAAAAAAAGTTTTTGTTTATCTAGCAAAAGGTTGTAGGGTCATTAGTCTACCTATAATGATCACTAAAGTTTCTTAATAACTCAAACCAACAGTTTGGGAAAATGGTTTCAATTTCTACCCATGTTTTTTATACACAAATTAACCGCATGAGGTTTTGAACCCAAATAGCTTTAAAACTTCCAACTTTTACTAAGGACATACCCCGATTTCCACTTAAGTTGATTAATTAAAACTTCAGGATGGTACAATGTCAGAAGGTAGGGACCTCTTGGATCATATCATAGAGAACACTTCCTTCGTTCATTGCGAAACCATCCTGGAAATCGAGGATACACATGAGGAACCATCGATGGCCGAATCAGAGAATACAACCTCCACATCCCATGTTTCGATCGTTGAATCCTTACCGGAACCTCAGGAACCGAAGGTAGAAAAAATTCAGCCTTTGGAATCCCTGTTCTTATTTGAGGGTGATCTTTTTGAAGATTATGGACACACCTCAAACAATTCCTGCCAAAAGAGACCACCAGTCCCACGTACTTATCCTGCACTACTCGAGGAGAATCTCTTCAAAGAGATGGTGCAGGAATTAACTACCATCATGAGTGATGAGTGATTAAGGTAGGTGGAGCTTTCTTCTGAAGTAACTCAGATTAGCTCCTCGTCCTTAAATATTCCATGTCTCATGAGAGAGGCCATGGTGCAAAATCTTTATAATCCCACTATTCATGCAAATATTATGTTTGCAACCTTTGCATTAAATTGCTTAGGAGACGAACTGTTGGCTCCAAGAGACAGAACTTCCCGGAGCCCATTTGGTCCTATTATCGAAGGTTATGAGATTCTGCGCAGGGTGCTGATCTGACACAATGATGTCGAGGCTATTCTAGACTTCCATGTTTTTGAAGTCCCTGACTTCCACTTCTCATAGGTCATCCCATAGAGAAACTTCTCCTTGATGCTCCGCATACCGGAGTCCTCAACATCAAACTTGGGAAAATGGCATTTTCTGTCCTGATCTTTCGATCAAAAAATTCTTTGGCAGAACTCATTCCCGATTCCAAGCCAATTGAGGAAGTGTTGGCTATCTCTTCATTTGAGTTCCCCGAATCCCTCCTAAAAGATGATGCCAGTGCATTCGTCAAGGAGGAGGACGATCCTAGAGAGGTGATCGAGTTACCCAAAACCGATCTGCCTTCACAACCTTTGGTTGAGCCCTTTAAGCCTTCTCTATGCCTACTTGCACGATGGTACGGAATCGCCCGTTATCATAAGCGACAAGCTTTCCGATGACAAGACCTCCAAGCTCACAGCCGTGTTAGAAAAGCATCGCTATGTTCTAAGCTACTCACTTCAAGACCATAAGCGGATTAGTACAATGCTCTGTACTCATCGTATTCTTCTAGATCCTTCTTGTGCGCCCTCTTGAGAGCTGCAACGAGGACTAAATAATTCCACGAGGGATGTCGTGAAACTCCAACATGTCGGGATAATTTATCCCATCCCATATAGTGAGTGAAAGTGTATCTAGGCTCCTATTGATTTTGATGATTGATTACAATGCGATTAGAGAGGACTAACATTTTTATTCAAGCAAATGTGAAGGTTGTTATGTCCTCAACATGTTGTAATGTGATGCATACCCCGTGAATGCGACATCACGATGTAATACGGCAATGATCAAATGGTATATTGTATCTTGTACCTTGCATTGTGTCGTTGGAAAGCTGTACTATTAAGGGGAATGATGCATAGACATATAAGGAGTGATGCGGGTGCTCAAAATCTAATTTTCTTGGAAGCATTTCTCTTATTGGAGTGTTCTGTAAATTTTTGGATGTTCCAAAAATAATTTTCGGAAGTTCCGAAAATACACAGAACAATTTTTGGCGTTCTGGAAATTTTCGGAAGCTCTGAAAATGCGTTGACTTCGATTATTTCTAAGATCTGGAATTTTTGGAAGTTCCAAAAATGTTTGTCGAAAGTTCCAAAAATCACTTTTATTGCACACCAACGGGCAGATTTGTGATGTGGGTATAAATACCCACCTCCCCTCACTTGTGAGGGCTGCTGGTTCCATTTGCAATCATTTGTGCCCTTGGCTTGCTCTCTCTTGTTAGAATAAATGGGCAGCCCATAATAAATGTTAAGGATAATAATACCACCCTGGGAATTAAATGAGGAGTATCTCAACTTAAATAGGGAGTTATTGGAGGCTCCCTGTTGACCGGTTGAGGTGGGGATTGGAAAGCCACACGCGCGCGCGCGCCGGGCCGGGGGCGTGGGCGAGGCGGGCGTGCGTGCATTGCATTGCGTTGCGCCTCTCTGTATCCTTTTGCAACGGACCAACCCCGAGATTGCCTCCGTAACGGGCAGGCGATTCAATACCCATTGATCTCGCGTCGTTACTACGGCAACGGGCGGATATCTCTCCTGCGCTATAAGGAAAGAGGCAACCCGATCAGATCTGCTCGGTTACTTTGCACGCTACTGTTCTGCTTCCCCGCTTCTGATTGCTTGCGCGCACGAGAGATCGGAGCGAGCAGGGCCTCCGGAACCACACCTTCGCCTGAGATTTGCACCGGGTAGGCGGGTCATCAGGTTTTTGGGGAGTGCTTCCGCACGACTGCTCCTCGTCTTCGACCGTACGTCCGTACCATGTCTGCCGCCGCTGCCGAACCTAGAGATGGCGCGCCGGGAGCTGGATCTGGCGCTGCGAACGACAACACCAATGGAGGCATTTCTGCCTCACAATCCAGCGGAGGGACATTCACAGGGTATAACCTTCTACCCTTACTGTTATTTCGGTTTTTGATATCTTTATTAGTCGCAATTCTATTGCGTTCGATGTATGATGATGATGCTTATTATATCCTAAGCATGCTTCTGGTTATGTTTGATTTTATCACTAGATCACCTCACATTGTTCATGCCATGATTATTGTCTTAATATTTTGGATTAAAATATGCTGATATATGACTATATTTCCAACAATCCAAAAACCTGATGGGTCATTTTCGTTAGTTGGCTTTACTACTGTACGAAACCACATGCTTTTGATGGTTCTAATTATAAGAGGTGGAAAGCACATGCACCTCTGTGGTTGACAGCGATGCAATGTTTCTATGTTTCATGGGGCAAATGAAGTGAACCACCTCTCTCTCCTGAGGAAGAGGTTAAGTTCGAGGCTTCGGATTGCCTGTTCTGTGGAGCATTGATTAGTGTACTCGCTGACAATATAGTGGACGTGTATATGCACATGCCTTCAGGGAAGGACATGTGGGATGTACTTGAGGCCAAGTTCGGAGTTTGCGACGCCGGCAGTGAGCTGTATGTTATGGAGCAGTTCTATGACTACAAGATGGTCGATGACCGTTCTGTAGTAGAACAAGCTCATGAGATTTAGATGCTGGCTAAAGAACTTGAGAACAACAACTGTGAGTTGCCGGACAAGTTTGTGGAGGGTAGCATTATTGCCAAATGGCCACCTTCTTGGTCGAACTTTGCTACTTCTCTAAAGCACAAGAGAAAAGAGTTCAGTGTTTCTGATCTCATTGGCTCTTTGGGTGTTGAAGAGAAGGCGAGGGCAAAGGACAACCGGGGCAAAATGGTTGAGGGAGGTTCTAGTGCCAATATGGTATAGAAGAAGAACCCTCATGCATTTCACAACAACAAGAAAGTCAAGCCTGATGTCAAACCCAAGGCTACAACCAATTTTAAGAAGAAAGGCAAGGGAAAGGCAAAGGGAGACTGCTTTGTGTGTGGCAAGTCTGGACATTGGGCCAAGGACTGTCCTGAGCGCAAAGACAGGAAGTCTGCCAACATGGTCATTGTCGACGTTTGATGTCGCGATTCTGGTATTTGCATAGTATGGGGATCGTTGGTACCAGGGTATACACGAGACGAGACTGAGGTAAAAGAGATGGAGACGAGGATTTTTATACAGGTTTGGGCCCCTGAATTGTCAGGTAATAACCCTACATCCTGTTGGCCGAAGCTG